GGTTCTAGGCATTACTCTGCTAATGTCTGGTCTTAGTCTTTTGGCTTCCCTGGTTTTGTTACCTTACTAGTGAAATATATTTTAATGAAAACAGTCCACAAAAATTTATCATCACTTACTATATACAAAACATTATTCTAGTACTGCAGATCTTCAGCTCATAGTTTAATAGGAGGTATAATCCAAATAGAGTAACTACTGTGCAAGACAAAATAAAAAAGTGTGCTGAGAAAAGAGACAAGCCTTGGGACAGGTGAATGTGTGTGTATGTGTTTTGAAAGAGAAAGAGTATATTAACGGTGTTAGAAAAAACTCCAAACACTTACAAATATTCTTTCTAACTTTAAAGTTCTATTCCCTTAACAAACATTAGTTATACTACAGTAAGTATTACTGCATAGGTTAGTGATACATGGAATTAATGACATTTGGCCAAGTCCTCTCCATCAGTATAATGATACAGTAAGAACTAAATGACTTTCTTTGATGGGGTTCTAGTGTTTCTTGAAGAAGCAACTCTGTGATACAATTCAAGCTTCCAGCTTCTACTCCAGAAAGAGAATTTTTCTAAAGGCAGCCTTTTGCACACAAATGAGAAAAATGCTTTATTCTTTAGCAGAAACTTGTCAGCAAGTTGGCTCAAATCCTAATACACCAGGCAAAGCACTCTGCCAACCAAAACATACATAAAAAAAATCACTCAAAACACACAAACCACTCACCCTCACATAGCCAGTTCTTATCTTTAAAAGAAAACACTGCCATTAAGACGATCCCAACTCATAACAACCTTATGTTGTTGTTAGGTACCATCGAGTCGGTACCAACTCATAGCTACCTTATGCACAGCAGAACGAAACACTGCCTGATCCTGGGCCAACCTCACTACTGTTGCCACGCTTGAGTGCATTGATGCTGCCACTTGGCCAATCCATCTCGTTGGGGGTCTTCCTCTTTTTCTCTGACCCTCCACCTTACCAAACATGATATCCTTCTCCAGCAACTGGTCCCTCCCGACAATATGTCCGAAGTATGAGACAACGTTCGGCCATCTTGGCCTCTAAGGAACACTCTAGCTGCACATACTCCAAAACGGATCTATTAGTTCTTTTGGCAGCCCATGGCACTTTCAATATTCTCCTCCAAAACCGTAACTCAAAAGCATCAATGTCTTTTATGGTCTTCCTTATTCACTGTCCAGCTTTCGCATGCATATGAGGTTATTGAAAATACCATGGCTTGGGCCAGGCGCACCTTAGTCCTCAAGCTGACATTTTTGCTCTTTAACACTTTAAAAAGGTCTTGTGCAGCAGACTTGTCTAATGCACTATGTCGTTTGATTTCTTGACTGCTGCTTTCCTGAGTGTTGATAATTGATTTAAGAAGAATGAAGTCATAGGAAAGAGTAAAATTGGCCCATAGGGTTTCTGTGGCTACAAATCTTTATGAGAGCAGACTGCCACATTTTTCTCCTATGAAACAGCTGATGGGTTCAAATCACTGACCTTTTGGTTAGCAGCTGGGTATTTAACCACTGTACCACCAAGGTTATAATTATTTCAGGGGTACTTCCATAAACTAAGGAACTCTGAGGCTGACACAGTGGGATAAGCATTGGGCTAACCATAAGGACAATAGTTCAAATCCACCAACCACTGCTCCTACAAATTGGATAAAACTGTCTACTCCAGTAAAAATTTACAATCTCCATAACCCAAAGGAGCAATTCTGTGCTATACTATAACATCACTAAGTGGAACTGACTTGACAGCAATGAGTTGTTTCCATAAATTGGATATGCACAACAATTGCTATATTTAGGTCACAAGCTCACATCCTGAATGCAAATTTATAGACAAGTCAGTCACATGACAATACTAAATAATCTCAACTTCTATACAAACTCAAATAACTCTAGGTAAAAGAATTCCTGCATTCACAACAATAGTTGGAGTGGTAGAATACATTCATTTTAAAGTCAAGAAAAAGTAAGTCCAAGTATGGTGGTGGTGGTGGTGATGTGCCGTGGAATCAGTTCCAAGTCATAGTGATCCTGTACAGGTTTCTTTCTGAGACTGCAAATCTTTACAGGCACAGAAATCCTCATCTTTCTAACATGGAACAGCTAGTAGTTTCAAACTGCTGACTTTCAGGTTAGAAGCCTGATTTGTAACCACTATGCTACCAGAGTACTGAAAAAGCATTTTTGATATAAAGAACTTAATAGCAGAGAGTATGATAGGGAATGTATACCATGCTTTTATAAAAGAGCCTATCCCATAGTTCATCCAGTACAAATTATGTTAATGACATAAAGGTGTCCTGTTGTGGTGCTGTGGGTTAATGCTCTGGACTGCAAAGTTGGTGTGATCCGCAAGGTTGTCAGTTCAAGCTCACAGACACTTCTCAGAAACCCTATACAGGGTTGCTATGAGTCAGAACTGACTCGATTGCACTTAACAATGACATAAAGAATGTTTTATGGCATGATGTTACAGCTCTGCTATTTAGAGCAAAACTCTCTAAGGGTGCAGTCCAAATCATTCTTGTTTCCCTGGTTGTTGTGTGCTGCCAAGTCGGTTCCAAATCATAGTAACCCTGTGTAGGGTTTCCATGAGCGGCTGGTGGGTGTGAACTTCCAACCTTGTTGCTACCAGTCCAGTGCTTATCCTAGAGTCCACACTGTTATTGTTAAGTGCCATCGAGTCAGTACCGACTCATAGCAACCTTATGCACAGCAGAACGAAACACTGACTGATTCTGGGCCAACCTCACTACTGTTCCACACTTGAGTCCACTGATGTTGCCACTTGGCCAATCCATCTCGTTGGGGGTCTTCCTCTTTTTTATCTCTGACCTTCCACCTTACCAAACATGATATCCTTCTCCAGCGACTGGTCCTTCCTGACAATATGTCCAAAGTATAAGAAACAAAGTTTGGGCCTCTTAGCTTCCAAGGAGCACTCTGGCTACACTTCTTCCAAAACAGATCCACACTGGTTTCCCTTAATAATGCTTTAATAAACAAATGTGAATGTTATCTAAATATTTTTAAATCATGTGATTTTCAGTCTAGTGTATACCAAGACCAGAATTTTCTCATGTTTCCTAAAAGTTATGATTATAACTTCTCATTTGTCCTAAGCCTATTTTAAGAAATAAACTTGAGATATATGCTTAGTTTTATTACCCTAGGATTTGGTGGAAAAATTCATATATTCTCATCCAAACTCTGAATGTTATAAGAGTTTTCAGTCATTCCCCTTCTACAAATCACTCTTTCCGGAGAGAAATGAATGTCAGGCAGTATGGTACACTGGAGAGACTGAATGAGGAGTGTGAGAGATGTTGTTTCCAGCTTTAATTCTGCCTTTTGACCTGTGGAGAAGTCTCTGAACTTCTCTGGAGCTTGTATCAAAAAAATGAAAGTTGGACAAGGTGATCTGGAAGTTCTCATGTGGATCTGAAGTCCTTTTTGTTTTAACCTGTCCTCCAGCAAATTGATATTTTAAATCTATTTTTCCGGTTCTTCTCCAAGTCAATCATGTGCTGCTTACTTGAAAAATCTGTAATAGTAAACTGTTTTCACGAAACAGTACATTATGGTTTTATACAATAGTTAAAATTTTTCATCCCAATCTAAAGCTGCTTTTGACAAATCAAGGTTCACTTCCAATTGAAGTACCAAGTGTTTATCCAAGAAATAGGGAGGGTGGAAATGGATGCGGATGTGGGTGGGGCAGGATTAGCCAGAAGTGATTATGAGACTAGATGACACTGTTCTATTTACTTTTATGTATTTGAAATTCCCTATACAAAACTGGAAAAGAAAAAATAAAGCCATCACTGTCAAAGAAAGAAAGAATAGAGGCTTGGCAGTATTACAGGACTATTTTCTACGGTTTTTGGCCTAAGATAATTGCTTTTCACACCATTTCCCTTGAGTGGAGATAGAATCTACAAGACATGAAACTAAGCAGATATGCTCCAAGTTCAGGCAGAATTAAGCAAAGCGAACAAGAAAAAAAAAGCTCTTTAACTCAATTCAAAAAGTTATGGATTACAAAGCATCTATGTCATAGGGGGCATCAGCAGTGAGAGGCACCGGTAACTAGAACAGCCTGAAGCTTATTTTCAAAAAGCTGTGGTGCTGTAGGCGAAACACTGGATCGCAGTCGGTCTGAACCACAAATTCAGCAGTTCAAAACCACCAGCCGCTCCTTTTCCAAAGAGGGTCGCTATAAGTCGGAACCGACTCAACGGCACTTTAACAACGTATGTTTTATACAGTGTATTTTTGATAGCTTTCAAACTACAAAACCTAAAACCCTCTTTGAAATGTAAAATGAGGGAACAAAACCTTGTGGTAAAAGCATGCCTTGGAAGATGTAAAATAAAAACAGAAAGGCAAGGAATTTCAGAGGCTAAGAAATCCAAAGGAGAAAAAAGGTTACTATTCACGTGAAGAAAAAGGAAAAACAGAATAGTCAAAGAAGAAATTATAGTTTTCGGAGCCTTGATCTCTGGCAGCTCTCACGTGAGCTGGAAATTCCTCCACGTTAGGATGGGGACGGCTGCCGGGCAACTTGGATTCGGTAAGGAGGCACAGCGGAGACACACGAGTCCATCTCCAAGAGGGGGCCTGACGGAGAAGGAAATGGCGGGGAGCCAGCACCTCCTGGAGGGCGAGCCTACCGGCGGGCCGAAACACCCACACATACCGCGACAACTCAGCAGCAGGGAAAGAAGCCGCACCGCCGCCAGCCCTCTAGCGGGGAGGGGCGCGGACGGTTCCACTGCGGGGGAGGAGGCGGAACGTTCCATCTCGGTCCGGGAAACCCCAGGAAAACGGCAATGGTGTCTCTGACGCTAGAGCGACGTCTGGATGGTGTCCCCGGAACGCAGGGCCCTCGTTGGGCGCCTGACCCCGGACCCCAGGCATCTCTGAACTCCCCTGAGGCCAGTGACATTTAGGAAGGGGCCGGGTCAGTTGTACTCACCGACCGCGAGGTTGTGGAGCTCCAAAATCCTCCGTTGACTGTTCCTCCCGCCCTTGCCCGCCGCCGCTGGCCGAGGCGTACGTAAGGACGTGCGCGCGCCCGCCCTTTGTCTACGCCGCTTTGACGTGACCCTCGCGTCTCATCCACACCCCTCCCGCCGTCTAATCTCACGCTCCGCACCCTTGCGTCTCGCGTGCGATGAGTCGGGTCTAGTTGGGCGGTGGAGGCCCCGGGGGGAGGACGTCGCGTTGCCTGTCCCCACAGGTGGGCACGCTCTGGACGCGCGGAATCTCCCCCTGGCGGGCAAGGGACTGTTGTCCGGGGCGAGGCACTTGTCGGAGAGGCTGGTCTTGTTGCTTTGCTTTGGAGGAAGTGCCCTGCCCCAGTCGCCCATCCCTCGCCTTAACGCTCCACGGAGATCCCTGTTCTGATAAGGGGAGCGCCTACTTAAAGAGGGGTTGCCACGTTTCTGAGATGCTTCTGGGCCTGAATACTGGTGACAATCCCGAAGGTACACACGTTTGTTCTTGAGAGGGGGAAATGAGGAAGAAGAGGTTTGCGTCACTAAATTATCTTGTCATCCAAGAGCTGTTGTATGCAGCAAGATTTAAAAAATAAAACAAAATAAAAACATTGATTTCCAGTCGTTTTCGTCTCATAGTGACTCTATAGGACCAAGTAGAACTGCCCCAGAGTTTCCAATGCTGTAAATCTTTTGATGGACTTCTGGTGTGGCGCTGTAGGATCAGCACAGAACTGCGGAACCACAAGGTTGGCGGTTCAAACTTACCAGTTGCTCCTCGGAAACCCTATAAAGGGTCGCTATGAGTCGGAACCGACTCGAAGGCACTTAACAAAAACTCTTTTGACAGAAGCAGACTGCTGCATCTTCTGCAAAGCACCTAGTGGGTTCCAACTACCAACATTTCACTTAGCATTTAATCACAGAGGTACGCCTTGTAGACGTGTAAAGAAATTAACAAAGGGCTGGCACATCAAGAAAATGGTAACTACCACCACCTTAGTCCTCATCATTCCTAAATTTCATTTACTTTACTAGTAAAGCCAACATGTTTCAACGGGTTGCTGTAAACCAACCACCACTACTTTCCCTGACAACTGTCACTTTCCAATGCCTACCTAAACTTAGACCCAGCCTCTCTGCTAAAGTTTAAGTGGTGCTTGCTGGAGATTTACACATATATTTCTCACCATCTTCTCAGACTTCAAAAGCCTAACCCAAACATCCTCAAAAATTAGTTCTATACCTTCCATTCTTAATTATTAGTATTATTTTGCCTCTACCATAAAGCAGATGAGTTCTCCAGCAGTCAGCTCTACTCAAGAACAACTGGTCTGGTATGGTTTGATTAAACAGCCCTCTCTGCAACCCTGTTCCCCAGTCTATTCTGAAACCTCCTGTTAGATTCTGTGGTGTCACTACCGTTGGCATCACCCAGTGTGGGAACTTAGGGTGTTGATCCCTCATACCCGCCCTCATGGAGCTCCTCCCATACTAGACCAGGCACAATCCTTAGTAATGGTATTATCAATTTTAATCATAAAATAATATGTGATAAATATGCTTACAAATTGCTTAAATGTAATATGTCTTAGAGTATATTAATACTAAAAGCAAAATTGTTTTATAAAACCTTTCCACATTGAACTATACTATTAGTTACAACATTAGTAACTGAGTTGAAGCCTTTACAATTTTTCTCTTTTTTTCTTTAATTACTATTTCATCCTCCAAAAAAAAAAAAAAAAATTATATAGGGTTGACAAACACTAATTACCACAATATTGTAGCTGAAACGCCAGAAAATTTGACAGTATCAAAGACTATAAAAACATGGTAGCAGTGGAAATAATAGTGTGTGCTTTTAACTCATGTAGACGAAACCATGTGATCAAGTCATCACAGTAATTGGGTAATAATGACAGCTCTGACCTGAGCTCATTAAAAGGTTCAAAAAGTAAATTAGTAGAGTTTTAGTCTTACAGATATATTGATACATGTAAGCCAGGTTTACAAAAAAATTTTCATTGTGATCACAGGGATATTTTTATTAAAAATAATGGAACACTGCACACAAATTTTATTGACAGTCATCTGACAATTTCCCACTATGTGGTCTGCACCCCTGACACCCATTATATTAATATGTGGGAGAAATTCCACATTCTTAGACTTCAAAATCTGTCCATAAGAATGTTGGCTCTGCATCTGGGATCTTAAAAGTTCACAAGTGGTCACCTAAGGTCCAGTTATTGGTCTCTCCATGTGCAGAAGTAAAAAGAGTGATGAGAATTGAAGATGCTTGGCATAAATTAGTTCAACAGGCTAATGAATCATGGGAGTAGCAGTTTCCACAACTCTGAGACCAGGAGTACTAGATGGTCCCAGGCTACGACTCCCAACTACTTTGAAAGAAGGGATACCATTATAACATTAGAAGGTCCTGGATAAATTGATAGAAAATGTAGAACAAAACTCAAAATTGTTCTTTTTTTAAAAAAGACTGATTTAACTACTCAGAGACTGGAGGAACCAGAGACTATGGCCCTCGGCCACCTTTCAGGTCTGGAAAGAATCTCACTCTCGTGGCCCAGTTTGCAGTCAAGCAGTAGATAGGTTTATAGAGGGGGGCAACAGTACTAATAAGGTTTGCCTACCACAGAATGGTCAATCATTCAAAATCAAAAGGGCAACTTTTATCTAAGGACAAAGTTGAGAAGGGATGTGAAGGTGAGTGGAATGGAAATAGGAAACACAGGGAGGAATTGGGATGACTGCTGTTATTTGAAGGGGATTGCAATCACTGAGATGAAAAAAATGTGATGATTTGTTTAATGTAAAACTGATGATCTTGTCTGTGAACCTTCACTCATTCACAATAAAAAGTAAAAAAAAAAAAAAAGAATGGTGGCTCTGCTCTAAAACACTGGCCCACTCCACTCATCCTCACACTAAATATACCTATTTGGGAGTTAACACATTCAGTCATTAAATCATTCATTCACTCATTTAACACCTTCACTGAACCTTTACTATATACCCAACATTTTACTGGAATCCAATGATGAAAAGATAAATAATGCATGGACGGTCTAATCGTCAACTAGATCAAAGTCCATGAGAGAAGAAACTGGGCATCATACATTTTTGTATCCTCTATGGTTGTGTGGAGTCCAGGTGTGGCACTGTGGGTTAATGCCCCAGACTGTAAAGCCATTTGAACTGCAAGGTTGGTGGTTCAAGCTCACCATCTGCTCCTTGGAAACCCTATACAGGGTTGTTATGGCTTGGAACTGACTCGATGATACTTCACAACACAACATGGTAGTGTAGTGATTATGAGTCGGGCTGCTAATACCAAGGTCAGCAGTTTGAAACTACCAGTGGTTTCTCAAGAGAAAGATGAGGCTTTCTGCTCCCATAAAGACACACAGCCTAGGAAACCCTATATAGGGTCACTGTGAGTCGGAACCGACTCCACAGCACATAACCACCAACCACCATGATACTCTTGATCATATACTTCCTCTTGACATGGTTGAACATCGACCATTTCCTTTTGGTACAGTGACTCTGTGCATTCCTTCCATCTTCTTTTGATGCTTTCTGCATTACTCAATAATTTGCCCTGAGAATCCTTCAATTAAAGTTGAGGCTTGAATTTCTTTCTTCAGTTCCATCAGCTTCAGAAATGCTGAATGTGTTCTTCCCTTTTGTTTTTTAACTCCAGGTCTTTGCACATTTCATTATAATATTTCACTTTGTCTTCTCGTGCTGACCTTTGAAATTTTCTGTTCAGCTTTTGTACCTCCTCATTTCTTCCATTTGCTTTAGCATCTCTGTGCTGGAGAGCAATTTTCAAAGTCTCTTCTGATATCAATTTTGATCTTCTCCTTCTTTATTAAGTCCAAGGTGCATTGAAGGAATTGGCAACAGACAAGGCACTGGGAATTGATGGAATACAAATTGAAATCTTTCAACAAAGTGACATAGCACTGGAGGCACTCATTCATCTATACCAAGAAATTTGGAAGATAACTATCTAGCCAACTGATTGGAAGAGATCCATATTTGTGCCCATTCTAAAGAGAGGTGATCCAATGGAATGCAGAAATCATAGGACAATATCTTTGATAACCCATGCGAGTAAAATTTTACTAAAGGTAATACTGAAACGATGGCAACCATACATCGACAGAGAATTTCCAGAGGTTTAAGTTGGATTCAGAAGAGGCCGTGGAATGAGAGATGTCATTGCTGATGTTCAATGGATCTTGGCTGAAAGCAGAGAATACCAGAAAGATTTTTACCTGTGCTTTATTTGACTATGCAAAGTCTTTCAATTGTCTGGATCATGACAAGCTATATACAACATTGCAAAGTATGAGTATTCCTGAATACTTAATTGTGTTCATGAGGAACCTGTACATAGACCAAGAGGCAGCTGTTCGAACAGAACAAGGGAACACCAAATGGTTTAACATTAGGAAAGGTGTACAACAGTGTTGTATTCTTTCACCATACTTATTCAACCTGTATGCTGAGCAAATAATCTGAGAAGCTGGGTTACATGAAGAAAAGCGTGGCATCAGGATTGGAGGAAGACTCATTAACAACCTGCGATATGCAGATGATACAACCTGACTTGCTGAAAGTGAAGAGGGCTTAAAATACTGCTAAAGATCAAGACCACAGTCTTCGGTATGGATTGCATCTCAATGTAAAGAAAACAAAAATCATCACCAGTGCACCAAAAATAAAACCATGATAAATGGAGAAAAGATTGAAGTTGTCAAAGACTTCATTTTTTTGGAACAACCATCAACTTTCATGGAAGCAGCAGTCAAGAAATCAAACAAAGCATTACATTAGGCAAATCTGCAGCACAAGACCTTTTTTAAGTGTTGAAGAGCAAAGATGTCCATTTGAGGACTACACCTGACCCCAAGCCATGGTATTTGCAATAATCTCATATGTATGCGAAAGTTGGACATTGAATAAGGAAGATCGTAGAAGAATTGATGCTTTTGAGTTATGGTGTTGGAGAAGAATATT